CTGTAGCTTATCAGGCTTATAACACTGGACAACAAAATTCTTGGACGGTGGGACATTCCAAAAAGGTAAAGTCAATATATGTAATTATTTATTTGTGTCGTGATGATTTTTTTGTTGAAGACCCTATAGTTCATGAGGAACAACCTTCTTAACTACTTAAGAGATCCAACATAACCTGCATCATATAAAGAGGAAAGCGTTTCATTATTCTCTTACGTGGTTTGTAGTCAAAAATTTTTTGTAGTAAAAAATTTTCTAAAAATCCAATTTCATAGGTAATTTCATTTTAAAAATTCTAGTTAATACGAGAATAACGTTGACATTTTTCGATTCGGACGTTCCTGTGGTCGGAAATCGTTAAAAAAGGGGTTTCTTTAATTACAAAATTTTGTCAATTCACTTTCTCATCCCTCAAACCTTCAAGTACTTATATACAAAGTTACAAGACTTCAAGGCAATGTACGTCCATATGCCAGCCGGTTGAAAATCTTGAAAATTTTAAATCGACAATGGGAGGTTCCCCATAAGAGAGACTGACTCGCAATGTTGCACTTGAGATATCAAGAAAACTAACGCCATTAATTTCGATAGCTTCTGCTATTTATGAAACACTGTAGCGACAAATGGTCATGTAGATCAATGGGCTGCAATTGGACGACTGCAAGGAGAAGCTCGCATCCAGGAAAACGAAGCTTCAAATATTCGAGGCATGTATAAAATTCTGCTACATCACAGTGGAATCTGGCTTGTGTCTAACATCATCAAATAAAAGCTACAGATATTCATACTTCAGCATCATATGCAGACTATTCTAGTCCAACACCATAGGTGACGTAGAGATGTGGATCGTAACAAACCAGGAACCCATACAAATACAGGAAATGGGAATGGATTGGCCAAATACTCAAGGAAAGACTAAACAAACAAGGGACGTATTCGGGTGGTGATGGTAATAGCGTAGAAGACGACGGCATATTCAATAAGAGAGGTTGGACTTAAAATTAATACCAATTATGTTGCGGTATGTACTCGGATATGGGATTCTGCTGTTGTTTAATATTACTAGGAAATTTTGCTTGTGGTTCGGGTTGTGGTCAAGGATGACGCATTTTATTTTCAATGATGATCAGATGATATTAAGGAGGTAAAATGGACCGAGAACTTTATTTATTTATTTTTTTCAAGTCGCTATTTACGATAGAATTATTAGCCGAACATCGAAACACATTGCAAGGGGAAGTGAATCCGTAAGGGGTTTTTATACCCTTCACCACACTGTGGTACAGGGTATTATGTCTTTGTGCATATGTTTGTAACAGGCAAAAGGAAACGAGATAGACACATTGTTCCTTTTGAGAATATGCATAGCATCACTTTCTTAGTCGATTTATTCGTCTGTCTGTCCATGTTAAATTGTAAACAAAGTACAGGTCGCATTAATTATTCGAATTGGATGAAATTGGCAGAGCTCATTCATTTGGCCCAAGGACGAACCCTATTGAAATTGGGAAAAATCGGTTCAGATTTAGATATAGCTCCCATATACATATATTTTTGTCCGATTTAATGTAAATGGTGCACCAAAGTCCCTATAAAACTTTCGATTTGCACGAAATTTTGCACAGCGTGCTAAATTAAGATATATTTTTGACCGATTAAATGTAAATTGTGCACAAAAGTCCGAATATATTTTTCGATTTGCACTAAATTTGGCATAGCGTACTGAATTGAGTCTAGAATGATGTGTGCTATGTTTTCGTCCGATTTTACATAAATGGTGCACCAAACTCCAAATGTTTGTCCGATTAACACAAAGTATCAAATTGAGACTTGAATGGCGTTGTTGCGTTTTGTTGAAATTGGTGCAGATCCAGCCATAGCTTTCATACACCCGTTCGAAATGGGTGTCTGATTGATATTACATTTTTAACAATGTAAATTTATCATAGGTTGCAGAAAGACATGAGTATGTTCCTTCGAGGGAACATTGACATAAAATTGTAAGGATACGTATGTACAATATACCCAATTGGTGAAGAAAAAAAAATATTCGGAAAATATGCCAGTATAAAAAAGAAGAGCTATTAGCCTCTAATCGGTCAATATTGTCCAGTCTCAGAATATAGATCCTGGACTATATTTAGAGTTTGAATTTCGTCGTAGTTGTCTAGGGTATCATACGGTCGGCCCCGTCCACTGATTTAAAACTCTTTTTGTAAATAAAACAATATAGGTCAATATAAAGATCCCACTTAATTTCCACTTTAATTGATACACCTCCAAATTTAGATTTTGAACGCTAAAAAGGCATGTTCTGCCGAAGAAACTCTTTTACCCTTATTTATACTTGATGTAAGGAAATGAAATTAAGCCCTGACGTACTTACTTTGTACAAGCGGAATCATCACCACCTGTGGGTCGATTCACTATCAAAATTAATCAATTCTCAAATCGATATAATATTATAACGACAAAATAAACAATATATTAATTCTATAACAGTTTTTAACAACAATTGTTAAAAATGTTGTTAATAAACAACAACAAAAAATTCGAAGTTAACTTGTCGACAAATATTCTTCAATATTGAACATGCTTTGTTTTGTTCAAAATTTGTATGTATTTCGTTTTCAAAATGTTCAAAATTAAAAGCTTTTTAAAAGTTTATTGACAATTTGTCTACATTTTTACAGAATAACATTTTCGTTAAGTGGCCCACACACGTCAAACATGTGCGTTCGATCGGTGTGAATCGAAGCAATGTTTTACGTGTGTGGTACGGTGTTCGCACCGTTTTGCCGGTGCGCACACCGATCGAAAGAAATTAAAAATTTTTAATTTTTCGTTTTGCGACGCGCACATATTTGACGTCTGTGGCCTGGTGTGTGGATATTTTCTCATTTGTTGAGAAATTTCGTGGAGTGCGGATCAGCGGACAAATGCAATACATATGTATTTGGAAGATTTTTGATGTTTTTACACATATTCTACTGTGTGGCAAATAAAAATGTTTTTCCCGGAATAAAATAAAAGTATTTAATACATTTACATTAAATAAAAATATTTCGTCTTTTTTCCGTCATCACTATCGCGATCCATCTTCACGCTTCAAAAATAAATATGAAATGAAGTTTAATGGATCCGTTTGACGTGTGTGGGCTAGGAGCTTCACACCGATCGAACGCACATTTGTTTGTTTTGTTGTTTTTACAATAACAAAAGAAAATTAAACAATATCGAATGTTGTTAAAAGTTACCGAATAGGCCTACTGGCAAACATTTTGCTTCGAAGCGCGTCTTTAACGTCCACATTTTGTTAAATTTGGCTCGTCTTTTATGACCCATACGGTCGATTGCTGTTTTGTTTCGAGATCATACCAAAATATCCACGAATTGTCAATTATGACAACAAATAAATATAGGCAGCCTTTTTTAGATCGTGATCAACGAGAAGAAAGTTTTTTATGATCAGGTGTTTATCTCTATCTCATGGTATGTCACATGACGATCTCGTACTGTTGTGTCTTTTTTCGCAGTTCTTTAGGATGGTGATTTACCGCAAAGGACACATTAAGTCCATGACTTCCATTTAGCAGCATGCAGATTTTTTAAGTCACTGTATGTAGTTTTTTCAAGTCACAACACATGATCGCACCCCAAACTTTCAATGTTAATGGCAAATGACACCGTCAAGCAACATGAATTTATGAAAGTCCTCGTAAATATATAGATTTGAAACTTTACGCATCTACCGTAACGTTTTCGGAATAAAATTCCCGCAAGTGGTTTTCCACATATTTTCTACGTCATATCATATTTTGATTAATGAAATTAGAATAGTATTATATCATTACAAGAGCCTCAAAGTATGCTCTGGATCTACATTTAATATACGCCTGAAAATATGCTTTGCATTTTCGAGGGGTGATATTGAAGGACATATTTTTTTGTAGCAAGCTTTCGTGAAAGGTCATTCGAAAGGGCAAAACCAAAGTTATGTTAACAGTTTTCTAACCTTTGATCGGACAAAATTTGTTTTGCACAGGTTATCTACAAAAAATCCGGCGTTCCATAATTTTTAATTAACTGACAAATTCTCACTGCTTTGTCTTTCTAGCAAGAATATACATTATCATATAACTGATATTTATCGTGAGAACATAATATTTAATAAATAATTGAGCATAGCAATGTATTTACAGCAAACCGTCTAAAGGTGGGATTGCTACAGGGTTGAATTAGTAAAAATTACACGTGCTCCGCATTAAATGAATCATAATATAATTTTCTAGATCCAGATTATAATAATCATATTTTCAGCAAGTCGTTTCAATTCTGAACTCCGTTCATTTCTGTAGAATTTTTACAATACAAATATATTTTATCCTCTGTTTATCCTGAAAATGGTATCCTAAAAGTATGCTTTGTTTTTAAATAATATCTCATTGGAAAGAAGAATCTGGTTTCTATATAAACTATATCGCTTAGTAAGGGAAAACCCGACCCAGAAATTGAATATATGCAGCTGACGAATATTTAAAGAAAGAAATATCGCACTTCTCTCTTTAGTTGTTACGCAATATGCACACATTAGAACAGGCAGATTCTATAACTCCCCCTCATTGATAAGTAAGTAAAATTCAAATAATATTAATTTCCTATGTCGCTCACGTATTAACAAAATTAAATCATGAACTTGCACATGGAATCATTGATAATAAATGTTACTGATGCTGCCGCTGACGACGATGATGATGACGATTCTATGGCAGCTTGTTGTTCCGAATCGAACTACAATTGCAGTTAGTCTTTATGTTTTATTTAGTTGTGGTGCCACAAACCAAACAGATGCCATTGAATATTTACATTTTGAATATATCATCATGTCCTTATTCTCTGCTAGCTTCTATTTAGCCTTCATTAACATGTGTTTCCTTTTCTTGGTAATGTACTGATTTTCATCTTCTTATTTTTTTCTTTTCTCCACTTTGCATTTGCAGGTTCGAAGGGCATTGGATCACGTTTCGATGAACAACGTTTGACACTGAGAATACATCGTGGCCGTGGCTCTAATCAACATGACTCCACACACAGCAACGGCAGCACCCAAAGCACAACAACGACCCTGGGCACCCCCTCGCCCGAGCGCATGAGTAAATACTCCACCCGCCGATTGCACAATCACGATAAAATAAAGATTTCCGTCTCGTATCCATCCAACGATAATATATCGGAAATGGCCCAGCACGTACACGAGACGGGTAATGCCAGTCACAGCCATAATCATCAGCATCATCATGAACGTGGCCGTACGGCATCGGCCAGCGGAGGCAACATGCTGTTTGCCGTCCATTATGGCACCCAAAATGGCCGTGATTGTACCGAGACTCAATTGTACCGGCATCAGCATCATCAGCACGGGGGCAATTGTTTTCTGCAGGTGGGCAAATCGATGCCCGATATGATGCGGAGAAGTTCGAATAGCAGTGATAACCAGCAAATGCTGCAAACGAGGCCGAACAAGAAGATGGGCAAGCGTAACATAAAGGCCCAGGTGAAGAGATTCCGCATGGAAACGAAGGCTGCCAAAACGTTGGCCATTATTGTTGGCCTCTTCATATTCTGTTGGCTGCCATTCTTTACCATGTATATTATACGGCCATTTTGCCAGGACTGTATCGATCCGCTGCTCTTCTCTGTACTCTTTTGGCTGGGCTATTGTAATTCGGCGGTGAATCCCATGATTTATGCCCTGTTCTCCAAGGACTTTCGTTTTGCCTTTAAGCGTATCATCTGTAAGTGCTTCTGTTCCGGTAAATCGATAAATTTAAAAACGTCACGACGTGGCAGTGATATGTCAGCCATACGCATTAGGGGACGAACGCCCAGCATTACGCCCAGTGCTGCGGCTCATTCGTTTGGTGATGAATCGGAATTTCATCACAGCGATCATGAGCACAGATGACCATCATTCGGACCCACCAATTCCAGTTCACAGAATAGCTTGGGGGTCCGAAAGTCCAGTTTGAAAGTTCCTGTTTATGAGATATGCCATCCATTGGTAATGGATATTGGCGGCGGCGGCGGCAGTGGTGGTGGCGGAGTTGGCAGTGGGAGCAACTCCCTGTGCAGTAATGCCAATGGTAAACGCACACCATTGTAGCCCTTAATGGAAATGCAATGTTTCAGTTCGTCGTCAAAGTCGAATAACTGTGGCGACGAGGACGACGACACAGTTACAGCCGCCGAAAGCAATAGTCGTAGTGTTAGTATAAAAACCTTATGTAAAGAAAGCAAAAGTAAAAGAGGCAGGGCAATACGCTTAAAGTAAATAATATAGAGACAAAAAACCAACAACAACCAAAAAAAAAAAAAACAACAAGAAAAAAAACAAATGAGAAATAAAGGGAAAAAACAATTGATATTTATAGAAAGAAAACAAAGAATTAATTAAAACTGTGTATGTATATGTAAGTGTAATTAACTAAATGACAAACTTAATTAAGAAATTACATTGCATACCGCCTACTCCTCCAACCCCCACCCTCCAATTTGCTATTAACCCTTCTTCGATAGAGTTGCTTTAAAAAAAAAACAGGGGGTTTTATGTTTGCAATTTATTCTTCTCCAATTCAAACGAACGAACTGTAATAACCCTAATTTTTTTGTTGTTTTACTATTTTCTATTGTCGTCAATGAAAAAGAAGACGACGACGAAGAAGAAAATGACACCATATTTATTATTAGCTATTATTAATGATGATAAAAAAAACCAACAACAATAACAACAAAATACACTAATTACAAGAAGAAAAACTCTTAACTAGGGACAAATATTATTATAACTATTATTAGGATAATACAATAACAACAATTAGCTTAATGTTAAATATTTTGTATAAATATTAAATTAGTTAATTAAATAATAAATATAAATAGTTATATATAATTATAAAAAAATTAAATAAATATTGTCTTCGAAAGTGTTATATTTTTGGATTTAAAAACTTATTAAAAACTAATTACAAAAATATATATATTTTTTTTCAATTCAGAGTGAGATTATTTACTGAATAGAAAAGCTGCAGAAAATTTAGTGATATCACTTCAAGTGAGTGGGATTTACGTAAATTTTTAAATCTAAACAGCCAAGTCCTTATTCTTTGGATTACCATAGAGAGAGAGAGAGTTTTGGAAGTGGAAACCGGTATGAATTTCACCACTATAGATGCTTCCACATAACAAAGCTTCTGGTAAATAGATCCTGGCATATTCCAACCTGAGATTTATCACTTGTAGTTTTATTACTTTAAAGATCCTAGCCCCTCTCGTCAAACAGAGTGGATGTTCATTTATTTTCCAAATCCCGATAAAAACTTTACATAGACGTTTAAGTTATCCCTGTTAAGATAGGATGACAACGTTCTATTGGGGATGTGCCTAGTAAATCTGGCAATGTATATGGTCTCAGAAGAAACAATTTCCGAAAATACCGATGACAGATCATCAGAAAATTCTAGGCATATCATAACCAATTTTTGTAACCTAAATAGTTTTTATACCACACACCATAAGGTGGTGTGCATATTATATGTGTCATACCATTTGCAATACCTCGAAATATTTACCGGATATCCTACACAGTTTATATTCTATCAGAATAATATTCTATACCAATTTATAAACGTCCGTCTGTCCGCTTGTCTGTTGAAATCTCAACAGAGTACGTATTAAATAAGAGAAAACCTTGCTATTTTGCAAACACACACAATACTACCTCTCCTAGACATTGGAAATGTGACATATCGGCCCAATCGTTTATGTATAGCCCCCATATAAATGTAGTCCTTAATATTCTGATTTTGGCGGTTTTTTATTGACTGTACTTTTGTATTTTGGTTCTCATTTGTATGTCAATCATCCTATTAAAATATAATTCTAAATTTCGATAGTTTAGATAAGTTTTTCAACGAAGTTTGCTGAATGTTTTTATGGTGGAAGCTCAAGATACAAAATCTCTCTCTATAAAAGGCAACCAGATTTTGAAAATGAAAATGGATGACAAAAACATATATATTTTTAATAAAAATAATAGTATGTGTATAAAAATTGCATTTAAAATTTTTATAAATATATAAAATGAGTTAAATGTAATTATGTACGACCGGGCCAAATTTTTGGTCCGAAGCGAATAATCTTGGGATCTTGGGATCAATGTTTTCCTAGGATATTTTCAAAATTGAGTAAATTATAAAAATATATCACATTACAGTCAATCTGGTTGCAAAACGTGTCTAGAAACTATGAAAATACCAAAATTCAATAATTAATAATTGGAATAATTAGAACTCAAAATATAAAATAACAGATAATTCGGTTGGACAAAGTGTTTAAATATCCTGAAAATAACGATAAGGTGGATAATATGGTTTCCCCTGCCAAATTCAGACCTATATTCTAAATATTTCAATGAAACTTCATAAAATGTATTTACTAATTTGTTTTAATTTACAAAAGTATATATTGATCTAAGTTTTCAAAATGACAGATTATAGAAAAAGATAACAGATAGAAGACATACATTTTATAGATGACCGTCAGTTAAAATAGATGATTGTGCTATAAAAAAGAAGACGTGTGGTCACCGTACCCTATCAATATCATTGTGTAAACCATAAAACCATGCCCTTTTAGGTATTTTGATTTTTTCCAAACCCAAAAGTTATACCAAAACCAGTGAGC